AAATATCATCACCCTGAGCATTTTGGTTATTCAGAAGAAGTTGTTTAAAGGTTTTTTAATACAATTGACCCCTGTGACCTTGAATATAATTGAAGGTCATTCATTTGAACAAACTTGGTAGCCCTTCACCCAAGCATGCTACTGGCCAAATATCATCTCCCTGGGCATTTTGGTTATTGAGAAGAAGATGTTTAAAGTTTTTGACATATTTGACCCCTGTGACCTTGAAAATAGGTGAAGGTCATTTATTTGAACAAACTTTGTAGCCCTTCATCCAAGTTTGCTTCTGGCCAAATATTGACACCCTAGGCCTTTTGGTTATTAAGAAGAAGTCGTTTAAAGTAAAATATTGACGCCGGACGCCGGACGGACGGACGGACGGACGGACGGACGACGGACGCCGCGCCACGGCATAAGCTCACTTGGCACTTCGTGCCAGGTGAGCTAAAAAGACAGTGTTTGTCTATAATCAAATTATTCTCAAACGTACGCGCGTTTAATTCCTATTTTATCGATAATAACATTTAGACGCTTTTTATTTCCTCATTTTACAGGAAGTTATCCACAGTGAAACACGATATAATGTATTCTAGTCAATGTTGTTTGCTTGTCAAAGTCAGCGCTGCTGAGTGAGCCTGAGTATACAATGGAACGTTAAAGAGACATTAAATTGAATCATGACCTTTTGGGGTCACCTGCATACTGCACCATTAACATCGCTATCAAGTATGTCCTACTAACAGCACCTATACTACTATCAGCAGTAATACCTAGACTTCTATCAGCAGTGTATAGGTCTAGAGCAATGTTTAGGTCGTATCCTGGGCCGATCCATCAGTTTACTACGGGTTCCAAATCACGCCTCAAACACTCTCAGTTTGTGTTACAGCTATTAAAGTTTTTTATTGTACTAAAATATTTACATGTACATGTAGTATGTGATAAAGAGGTTATAATGATATCTCTCTGATTACCTTATATACCTGTTCGTCGTATGGATTGATTTGCACGTGCGACCCAGCATAGGCCATATCCCACACCTACACACACCCGCCTGCACGTGCCAAAATCCGCCAGGCACGCGCCATTACAGTTTTAAAACACACGGTACACACCGCATGAAGTATATTAGTAAAGGGGAGGCAACTCTTGAGACGACAATAAACTGTGATTAAAGGGCGGCAACGCAAGAGTTTTACCATTAACGAAAGCAGCTGGTTTTTGTCGAGTGACATTTTAATTCACCTGCTTAAAACATTCAAACAAGATAATATAGTTCGAACTGTCAATTCAAAGTTTGTTAATGAACATATATACTTACTCAGCTTCTAAAATATATTTTTCAAATGTCGTACATGTAGTTGCATTTTGAAAATGAAATGCACGCCTTCTACACTACTGTTAATGCTTTTTCTATGAGGAAGTTGGGGAGGAGTCTTTTTCGTCCTCATAAATTCAATCTTCAACTTATTTTATTGCATTTTACCCATGGTTGGTTGGTTGACGGGTTTAATTTATCGCCTACATGATTCCACCCATGCGGGTTGTTTCGTCTCACTGACGGAGGTCGGTCTTCTGTCTGCGTGAGGGAAGTTGCCTTCCCTCAGGGGGAGGGGAGGAATCGCAAATGCTATATCCTATCCTTATATATTATGTAATTTTGGGAGACGACTCCTTGGTCCGAAATGGTTGGTAGGTGTGTCGCGCCGGTCGCTGCAACTTTGACTGTTGTTCCTTACTAGTGTTTTTGTAACGTTGGAGGGAGTTCAAAGGGTCAGGAACGCTTAAAATAATGTATACTAATAAAAGGGTACTTATTGTATATATTCAAGTATATATATAATGTTTGTTATGTACCCCGGGTCTCAAACTACCGGTTATGCCCGACAGTAGAGAAACGTCCCTGCTTCCCTTAGGTACAGTACTTCGTTTCTTTGTCACTTGACATATAGGGAGTTTATATCCGCTATATACTATTGTTATAACAATAAGACTCCTTTGGATAGAGATAAGCAACAAAAGTACAATTGAAAACTTTTATCTTTATTCTTCTTCTTATTCCTTAACAACAATCTATTTATCAAATAAGCCATGAAATGTTGACACCATATAAGGAGACCAATGCCTGGTGTTCCACGACACCGGTGGTAGAACATATCACAACTAACTTCATGGCTGGCATAGAGGTAACACATACAATTCTATAGGTTTGTAAACGCTGTGTAAATCAAGCTGTTTATTTATCCCGTCCTGGTCGTAAACAAACCAGGGCCAGGTAAGAGTGTGTCTCCCTCACATATACCGTACATGTATTTCTATGTACCAGTAGACATTGTGCTTAGTACCTAATT